AGCAAATTTGGGGCAAATATTAATTGGACATGTGACGTCGATTACAAGGTCGCATGGTCCGCAAAATATGTATTTGCCTAAAAACAGAACGATAAGTTCTCTTTTTCATTACAAAATTTGAAAGATGAATTATTAATACAAGTTTTTGACCCCCAAAGAATTGGAAAAAAATAATTTAAATTTAACTGCCTTTTCATCTAAAGTTCTACATCTTATCGTGGCTTGTGTCATATAATGATTGATGCTTCAAGATCCGTCAATCGCCTAAAACAGGATGGCGTCAGAAAAATATCATTCATTGTAGTACCTGGGGCCCTGCTTCTTTACTTCAAACTAACAATACACTTTTCTTTCAAAAATATTCCAAGAAATTAGCGGGAAAGTCCAAAAGATTGGCATAAGACGTGACAAGATTGAACGTCGTTCAGCCATCGCCATACTTGTAAATGTCAAAGGCGCGTCAATGTTTTCTAAGGTGACGTCATTATAAAAAGTGGGAGGAGCTACAGGTTTCTGACGGAAAGGTCAATTGATAGCATAACGGCACAGAGGTGTTTAATGCTGATCATCTAAATTATCAAATGATATTCCCCGAAGCAGTAATTGAGAAGGGCGTTGTTTAAAGATATATTTTAATATTTTTCTATTGTATAATATGATTTTCAAATATAAACCATTAATACCCATCTTAGCATCGTGTATGACAGTGTGCATCAGTATAATCACTTATTTGTGGTTATATTGAAATTTGTAAAGACGCGTTCTTTTGAATTTATTTTTAAAAAATAATAACTTAAATACAACAGAAGAACATAGTCCAGGAGGTTTTCCCCATTGGAAAAAAAAACGTATTAGTAACGCTTATTCAACAAACAATTGTTATACTTTTAGTGATTTGTAGGGCGTCAAATCCTAATGTTATTGTACTGTTTTAATTTGTAGATTTTATTTTTTATTTTATTCATTGATGTAAAACATTTATTACAATTTTATAGTAAAATGTATAAAACACCGAGTTTTGCCTAGCAAATCCCAAATGAAGTTATGGAAAACGCGATGGCTGATATATGTATAGTTCACAAGCAGTATCATAATACAGATATGTGACGAGAAGCTAATATAAATAGGGCCTATACCCTATAAAAGTTTACCGTCATCGAATTGTTTACTGTCCTCGTTACATGGATTCAAATCACAAATACACCAAAGCTAGAAAACTACAAATCCGAAGAATTTTGTTTATAAAATATTCACTTTCCATTCAATAAATATTCCAGTCATCTATTTTTGGAATTGGGGACATTCATTCTCTTTTCCCCATAAATACAGATTGCCGTGTTATTTAATATTCAAACCAAACAGCATGTAATCAAAGAACGCTTTTATTCGTAATATGTAATATTGTCACGTGACATTGTTATGGTTTTTTTTCGCTTGGGAAGCTTTTATTATTCACTATAGAACTCCAGTATAGTAAACCATAACTATGAACAATATCATGTTCCAAATAAATAATCTAATTTGTAGATCTGCAATTTGTCACGTGATGGTCCGAACATTATTTGTATGGCTCAATTTGTTGATAGAAAATACCGCTAATAATTATTTGTACTAATCCGTGCACGAGATGACTGGACTATAGTACCCTACTTCCAGCAATGGATACTGACATAACTGTCGGTAAGTTGGTCTAAGATAGTAGTAAAATAATGCAAGCTACTTCACTACCCTAGCTTTCGTCACACATCATTTAGGTGAAGAATTTCTATATTAAACAGAACACCGTTTTTAATACTAAAATAAACCCTGTAGTATTATACCCATATAGAGCTGAGAGTGGCCCCTTTCGTCATGCCTGCTACGCTGCTTCCACTGTGAGGTGAGAGTGAGGCCAGAGAATCTAAATGAAATTTAGTTGATGCTTGATGAATGCAATCGTATAAGATCTGAGGCAGACTCGAGAATCCTTAGTCCCCTAATTTCTATTGGGATTGACCCTTTATCAAAACTGGTATCGGCTACCTCAAAAACGTATATTTTGACACCAAAATGTGATCATTTTGTAAAATTCGAATTTCCCGCCATCTGGAATCATTCCCAAATATTTACTCCGCTGTATAACTAATCACCAAAATGTGCATGGAAATGGATTTAGCTGTCTCGAAAGGATATATTTTAATACAAAACTTGGTCACATTATAATAATTAGATAAAAAAATTTGCATTTTCTGGCAAAAACTGGCGGCGATTTTGGATATTGGCCAATTCGACCCATTTAGACACAGATTTAAGAATGCGCTTTTGGAAATGAAATGAAATGAAATGGAGTTTAACGTCCTACTGTTCTGCTCCTAACCTGGGCTAATGAAGACGGGCATACGCCATACAGTGTGCTATGAGGGAAATTTTGCCCGGACAGCGGCACTACGGCCTACTCTTATATCGAATTCCAACTGCCAAGGGATCTTTTACGTGCACGCCAATGTGTACACGGGACCTCGGTTTTTCGTCCCATCCGAACGACTAGACAGCTTTCCTGCATCACTGACAAGGGAGAACCACGCCGGAAAATCTGGATGAACTTTCTCGGCCAATGCAGGGATCGAACACCCGACCGCCAGGCTAGCGAGCTAGGGTCTTACCCACTTTGCCACGTGAAGGGGTGGGGGTGGTAACATAAACATAAACCTTGGTCGACATTTCTATTGTAGCAACTGCCCAGGATGATGTGGAATTGAGTTGTACTGAAATGAATTGAAATGAAATTGGGGTTACTGGTGCACTGTTGTAATTAAGGCAAATATTGTATTTTTAATTAATACATTATTATGATTACTGTTCATATTGTAATTGTAATCCATACATTATTAGGTTTAATGTAAAAGTTTTATTTAATGTTAATTTTTTAATCGTAAGCCATACGCTGTAGTATTTTAATTGTAAGACATACGCTTTAGTAATTAATAGAAATATTGTAATTATAAGCCATATGCTGTTGTAATTGATAGAAATATTGTAATTGTAAGCCATATGCTGTTGTAATTAATAGAAATATTGTAATTGTAAGCCATATGCTGTTGTAATTACTAGAAATTGTAAGCAATATGATGGTGTAATTAATTGTAATTGTAAGAATTGTAAGACACTGTTGTGATTAAGGGGAATATTGTAATTATAACACATGCACTATTTGGATTAAAGATACATTTTGGGTATTAGGTAAATAGCTGGCAGTTCTTACTATAATAGTTTAAAGCTAGATAATGTAAAGGAAATTTACTGAAAATTTCAGTGAAATTGATCCACTCTGAACCGAAACTTTAGCTATTGAATTGTCGGCCTAGCCTCGATCATCATTACTAAAGACGGCACGATAAAATAAACATAGTCTCGATTATCCATGAATGGAAGTCGAACAGAAAATCGGAAACTAACCCAATAAACACTACAGGTAAACGCACGGGACTAGATTGTGAACTGCGCATGTTATCTAAATCCAATTATTAAGACCACCTGCCGATTTGACCAAGGCCGCCGAGTGTTAAATAGGTTCAGTTGTTGACGATCAGGGCATGTGCTTGTTGATGACCAGGTTTAAGAATTTGGTTGAAAAGTATTGATAAGCAATAAGAATATTATTACTCAAAAAATTAACTTGAGAAATTTAGAGAATTAATCTTTATAGAGAAACCGGCCAACATGTTTATATTACTTGTGCCTTTTTATACGCCCACATTGAAATGTGGTCGTATATTGTCGTCGCCCCCGTCCGTCGGTCCCGCGTCCACGATTGCCTGTGGACGCTCTAGAGGCTAAAGTTAATATCTGATTGACTTTAAATTTATACACAGTGTTTAAGGTCTTGAGACGAAGAAGCCTATGGATTTTCCGCGATTTCCAATATTTGCTGCCAGAGTTATGGCCCTTGATCACTATGAAAAATCTTTTTGCCGCTCTAGAGGCCAGAGTTAACATCCGATTGACTTTCAATTTATACACAGTGTTTACGGTCATGAGAGGAAGAATCCTATTGATTTTCAGCGATTTCCGATAATTACTGTATATGGCTCTTGATCACTTCAAAAAAATTTGTGGATGCTCTAGAGGCTAAAGTTAATATCCGATTGAGTATAAATTTATACACAGTGTTTGAGGTCATGAGACGAAGATTCCTATTGATTTTTAACGATTTCCGATAATTACTGCCAAAGTTATGGCCCTTGATCACTTTGCAAAATCTTGTGACGCTCTAAAGGCTAAAGTTATCATCCGATTGACTTCAGATTGATATACAGAGTTTAAGATCTTGAGACGAACAAGTATATTGATTTTCAATGAATTTTTATGACTTGAACAGTTAAATCCATGATATTAAAAGCTTTGCATACAAAACGTTAGCATGGGGCAGAACTTTATAAATGAAATGAAATGAAATGAAATGGAGTTTAACGTCCTACTGTTCTGCTCCTAACCTGGGCTAATGAAGACGGGCATACGCCATACAGTGTGCTATGAGGGAAATTTTGCCCGGACAGCGGCACTACGGCCTACTCTTATATCGAATTCCAACTGCCAAGGGATCTTTTACGTGCACGCCAATGTGTACACGGGACCTCGGTTTTTCGTCCCATCCGAACGACTAGACAGCTTTTCTTGTCAGCCCCTCCGTCCTGCATCACTGACAAGGGAGAACCACGCCGGAAAATCTGGATGAACTTTCTCGGCCAATGCAGGGATCGAACACCCGACCTCCAGGCTAGCGAGCTAGCGTCTTACCCAATTAGCCACGTGATCCCCAGAACTTTATAAAAACCAAACAAATTCTAATAGTTTTCTGATAAGTACGTCGTGAATTGTTGCTCTTAATCAGATTTTAGTGTATTATAAATGTTTCATTACCGAAAAAAGTAAAAATATGCGACAACCCTTGTTGACTGCCTGGACGATTTAGTTGCTGTGGGCGTATGTTTCCTTGCCTGGCAACCTATCTTTAATTCTAGTGAATCTGTGTCTACCCGACCCATGTAAAAATGGTGGTACTTGTTCACCAGTTGATAACGGTTACAGCTGTAATTGTCCTACAGGATATTTAGGAGAAAACTGTGATGGTAAGGTACTTACATTCATTATTGTCACAATAATTTAGCATGCTTTGATTAACAAGCAGACAAGTTCATTTGTGGATGCTCTAGAGGCTAAAGTTAATATCCGATTGAGTATAAATTTATACACAGTGTTTGAGGTCATGAGACGAAGATTCCTATTGATTTTTAACGATTTCCGATAATTACTGCCAAAGTTATGGCCCTTGATCACTTTGCAAAATCTTGTGACGCTCTAAAGGCTAAAGTTATCATCCGATTGACTTCAGATTGATATACAGAGTTTAAGATCTTGAGACGAACAAGTATATTGATTTTCAATGAATTTTTATGACTTGAACAGTTAAATCCATGATATTAAAAGCTTTGCATACAAAACGTTAGCATGGGGCAGAACTTTATAAAAACCAAACAAATTCTAATAGTTTTCTGATAAGTACGTCGTGAATTGTTGCTCTTAATCAGATTTTAGTGTATTATAAATGTTTCATTACCGAAAAAAGTAAAAATATGCGACAACCCTTGTTGACTGCCTGGACGATTTAGTTGCTGTGGGCGTATGTTTCCTTGCCTGGCAACCTATCTTTAATTCTAGTGAATCTGTGTCTACCCGACCCATGTAAAAATGGTGGTACTTGTTCACCAGTTGATAACGGTTACAGCTGTAATTGTCCTACAGGATATTTAGGAGAAAACTGTGATGGTAAGGTACTTACATTCATTATTGTCATAATAATTTAGCATGCTTTGATTAACAAGCAGACAAGTTCATTTGTGGATGCTCTAGAGGCTAAAGTTAATATCCGATTGAGTATAAATTTATACACAGTGTTTGAGGTCATGAGACGAAGATTCCTATTGATTTTTAACGATTTCCGATAATTACTGCCAAAGTTATGGCCCTTGATCACTTTGCAAAATCTTGTGACGCTCTAAAGGCTAAAGTTATCATCCGATTGACTTCAGATTGATATACAGAGTTTAAGATCTTGAGACGAACAAGTATATTGATTTTCAATGAATTTTTATGACTTGAACAGTTAAATCCATGATATTAAAAGCTTTGCATACAAAACGTTAGCATGGGGCAGAACTTTATAAAAACCAAACAAATTCTAATAGTTTTCTGATAAGTACGTCGTGAATTGTTGCTCTTAATCAGATTTTAGTGTATTATAAATGTTTCATTACCGAAAAAAGTAAAAATATGCGACAACCCTTGTTGACTGCCTGGACGATTTAGTTGCTGTGGGCGTATGTTTCCTTGCCTGGCAACCTATCTTTAATTCTAGTGAATCTGTGTCTACCCGACCCATGTAAAAATGGTGGTACTTGTTCACCAGTTGATAACGGTTACAGCTGTAATTGTCCTACAGGATATTTAGGAGAAAACTGTGATGGTAAGGTACTTACATTCATTATTGTCACAATAATTTAGCATGCTTTGATTAACAAGCAGACAAGTTCATTTGTGGATGCTCTAGAGGCTAAAGTTAATATCCGATTGAGTATAAATTTATACACAGTGTTTGAGGTCATGAGACGAAGATTCCTATTGATTTTTAACGATTTCCGATAATTACTGCCAAAGTTATGGCCCTTGATCACTTTGCAAAATCTTGTGACGCTCTAAAGGCTAAAGTTATCATCCGATTGACTTCAGATTGATATACAGAGTTTAAGATCTTGAGACGAACAAGTATATTGATTTTCAATGAATTTTTATGACTTGAACAGTTAAATCCATGATATTAAAAGCTTTGCATACAAAACGTTAGCATGGGGCAGAACTTTATAAAAACCAAACAAATTATAATAGTTTTCTGATTGTACGTCGTGAATTGTTGCTCTTAAATCAGATTTTAGTGTATTATAAATGTTTCATTACCGAAAAAAGTAAAAATATGCGACAACCCTTGTTGACTGCCAGGACGATTTAGTTGCTGTGGGCGTATGTTTTCTTGCCTGGCTACCTATCTTTAATTCTAGTGAATCTGTGTCTACCCGACCCATGTAAAAATGGTGGTACTTGTTCACCAGTTGATAACGGTTACAGCTGTAATTGTCCTACAGGATATTTAGGAGAAAACTGTGATGGTAAGGTACTTACATTCATTATTGTCATAATAATTTAGCATGCTTTGATTAACAAGCAGACAAGTTCATTTGTGGATGCTCTAGAGGCTAAAGTTAATATCCGATTGAGTATAAATTTATACACAGTGTTTGAGGTCATGAGACGAAGATTCCTATTGATTTTTAACGATTTCCGATAATTACTGCCAAAGTTATGGCCCTTGATCACTTTGCAAAATCTTGTGACGCTCTAAAGGCTAAAGTTATCATCCGATTGACTTCAGATTGATATACAGAGTTTAAGATCTTGAGACGAACAAGTATATTGATTTTCAATGAATTTTTATGACTTGAACAGTTAAATCCATGATATTAAAAGCTTTGCATACAAAACGTTAGCATGGGGCAGAACTTTATAAAACCAAACAAATTCTAATAGTTTTCTGATTGTACGTCGTGAATTGTTGCTCTTAATCAGATTTTAGTGTATTATTAATGTTTCATTACCGAAAAAAGTAAAAATATGCGACAACCCTTGTTGACTGCCTGGACGATTTAGTTGCTGTGGGCGTATGTTTTCTTGCCTGGCTACCTATCTTTAATTCTAGTGAATCTGTGTCTACCCGACCCATGTAAAAATGGTGGTACTTGTTCACCAGTTGATAACGGTTACAGCTGTAATTGTCCTACAGGATATTTAGGAGAAAACTGTGATGGTAAGGTACTTACATTCATTATTGTCATAATAATTTAGCATGCTTTGATTAACAAGCAGACAAGTTCATTTTAGGAAAAGAAAAGGACTCAGGGTGCAGTCTTGGTTGACACTAGATTAGATTGACATGAGAATCCACTCATTACATCTGAGTTAACTCGTTATATCTGAATAAACTCATTACATCTGAGTTAACTCATTACACCTGAATTAACTAGTTACATTATAATTGTTATAATAGGTCCATGTTATCTTGCTCAAACAATGTATCACATAACTTTGTTTGATTAAGGGGGGTTGGATGGCCGAATGGTTAGCACGCGCGTGCTGTATCATACGGTCTGTCATTGAGTCAACCTTCGGGGTTCCGATTCCCCGGTGGTACGTGACAAGGAATAGAGTCGCCTGTCCAACCTCGTGGGTTTTCTCCGGGCCCTCCGGTTTCCTCCCACTGCTAAAGACCCCTACGCGCAAGCGAATGATTGAAATAAAATTAAACCATATGTTAGTCCCGAAATGACCTAGTTTGTGTCGAGTGGACGTTAAACCCCATCTCTCTCTCTCTCTCTTGTTTGTTTGATAAGTTCACTAACATGCTATACAGAATTGATATGAATAATTTTAAGGCATGGATCAGAATGTAGGATGTCACTATACTTACTTGGTAATGTCATATCCTCACCAGTAGCCTACTTTTTACAGTCACCACTGATAATTTCTAGGTCACGAAGAAATATGGGTCATTCCATTTCACCTGGACATGTGCTTGTAAGTGACCCCCTCAGAAAATTATGAAAACAAATATGTTATAGTACATAGAGTCTTATGTAAAACTGTAAAGTTATATGACTCTAGTATTAATATGACCATTTCACCCGGACCAGTGCTTGTAAGTGACCCCCTCAGAAAATTATGAAAACAAATATGTTACAGTACATAGAGTCTTATGTAAAACTGTAAAGTTAGATGACTCTAGTATTAATATTGATATGACTCGATTTTTGTGATCTGATTTTATTCCTTCTAGCCAGTTTATGTTCTTGAAATTATGGGGTTTGTAAGAAAATGTTATGTAGATTAAGAATTTACAATCACAGTTTACAGGAAAAGTACCATCAACTGCGTATGGGGTACCTTAAGTGCCAAAATGTGATACTTGTGCAAAAAACAATCGATATAACATTCTCTTACAAACCCCTTAATTTCAAGAATATTGTCTATCTAGGGTATATAAAATCAGAACACTAAAATCGAGCCATATACCAGTCGTTTCAAAACTTGCGAAAGGGTATCCGATTCAAATGGCCATATTAATACTAGAGTCATATAGTTTTACATAAGACTGTGTGTACTATAACATATATGTTTTTTTTAAAAATTTTCAGAGGAGGTCACTTTACAGCTTTCTCAGAATTTGGTCCCCTTGACATGGAATGACCCATATCCATATTACATTATGCTATAATTAACAATTGGAATTAGGTCACTCAGTATCTAATATGCATTATTACTAATATATGTGAGGTCTACATTTTTTAAATTTAATTTTAGTTAACCCATGTGATATCAACAACCCCTGTTTAAATGATGGTACGTGTTATCCATCAGAAGGTGGCGTGAGTTGCAGCTGTCCTCTTGGATTTGAAGGGTCCTTTTGTCAAGGTAAGCTGGTACTATGTCTGTACACTATATAATCTTCTTCGGTATAAAAACCTATATATAAATATTTGCATAATATAATAAATAAAGGTTAAAATGCCTAAAGAAATTACTATTATTTAATTGTCTACATGTTTCGCCTGATTTCGGTAGCCATAATTACAGAAATAACGTGAAGTCCAAGACTACTGAGTCCCAACAGACAGTATCCACGCCAGCTATTCCTAGACGATCAAGGTTGTCACAAATCGGATAGATGAGTTATGCGCCCTTGGGTATGAAGGCTTGATAAATCTGGCTCGTGCAAATGTTGAGGAAAATGAGTTTTAGACATAAATAACAGTGTCAATTTATACCAGTTATAAATAGATTCTGTATAGGTAATTGGGTGGTTGTCTGTTTGATGTAAACAAATTGAAGAACACCAAGGAAAATAGTTATCCAACTTATTCTATCGAATTTGAACAAAGGCTCTAATGAACCAAGATGGCGGACCAGGTACTAACCGCCAACCAACAGAACAAGAAAACCAGGAAGATCCTAGAAGCTATAAATATCAGAAGACATTCACCTGAACTCAATAGGGACTTAGGGCTCTACATCCCCAGGGCATATGATGATGTAATTAAGATGAACAACATAATTTAACTATTAAGCCATCTTTGGTTGTACTAAAATCCCCGCCCCACCCCATCAATAAATTTTCGATATTATAGACTCTCCCAACCTGTTAATAACCCTCTAATCAAGCAGTATCAGTGCTTATTAGTAGCTAATTACCTTGTTATGTTTGTTGTTATTGTTAAATATCCTTTACACCTTGATTATTTCTATTACTGTTATTCTTAATCCATACAGATGGTTTCTTATTAATTTCATATATATTGTCCACAAGTTTACTAAATTGTCATTTGTGCTTGATAACGATAAGAGGATACTTGTCGAAACGTCGTGCTTTTAGAATAAACTAGTGATTGTATCCCATAAAAACTGTGTTCTGTTAATTTGTTCCCTGATCGCTAAATGCCACTTAAAGAATAGGTTTGTAACCCACAGATCTTGGTTCCATTCGATATTCGCGCATATCGGACCGTAACTTCCTGAATTATACCCCCTGATTGTAAGAAAAATCGCGTTTTTATCTTGTGGACCCTATAGTATAGAGGTCAAAATTTGTATCCAATTTAAAAAACTGGTTTAGTATATCACCGTTACACACTAAGAATGGCTGAGTTCGAATTTCGTAAAAATGGCCCAAAACTGACAGACAAAATGGCCGTCCTCGTTCTCAAATAGCGTAAAAAATATGGTATATCAAGGTTGTGGACCCTCTAGAGGTCACAATTTTCTTCTGATTTCTGATGAAACTTGGAAATTAAGTTTATAACCCAAAGATCTCGGTTCCTTTCGATATTCGTGCATATCGGACCGTCAGTTCCTGAATTATGGCCCTTGATTGAACAAAAAATCACGTTTTTAGCTTGTGGTCCCTGTAGAGGTCACAATTTTCATCTAATGAAAAACAATGTTTGAATATATCACCATTACACACTAAGATCTTGGATCCTTTTGATTATCGCGGAAACCTTCCTGGGTTATGGCCCCTGATTGTTCGAAAAATGTCAATTTTAGCTCGCGGATTCTCTAGAGGTCACCATTTTTTTTCCGATTTTAAAAACCGTTTAAATATTTCACCATTCCACCATAATGAAGGCTGGATTCGAATTTCGGGAAAATCGTAATGAAACTGTCCAACAAAATGGCCGCTATTTGTATGCAAATTGTGTAAAAGTATGCAATACGATGGTTGTCGACCCTCTAGAGGTCACAATTTTGATCCGATTCTGATGAAACTTAAAACATATCTTTATATCCCAAAGATCTCAGTGCCTTTTGATATTTGCGCATTTCAGACCATAACTTTATGGATTATTGCCCCTGATTGTACAAAAAATCCCGTTTGTTTTTAGCTTGTTCTCTATCCATCTCTTGCAAAATGTGGGCGTATCCTGCCTGGCAGCCGCTGGTTCTTATATTTATCAATGACATTACCGACGGTACAGTAGGATTAGGTAGACGTTTTGCAGACGATACTAATTACAGCACTTTAAAAAATATAATTAATTTAGATTTAATATATTTAAATGAGTGGTCAAAAAAGTGGCTGGTTAAAATCAATCTGACACTAAAACCTGTCAATAAACATTTAGGAATTATCTTCAGTAGCGACTGTAAATTAACTAATCATATTGATAAATTGATTGGCAATGCCCCGAAACAGTTAAGCATTTTAAGAAAACTAAAATATAAATTAAAGAGGGAATACTTGGAAAAAATGTACTTAACATTTATCAGGCCAATATTAGAATATTCATCTGAAGTGTGGGACAATTATGGAAAAGTCAACTCCGAGCGTTTAGAAAAGCTCCAAATCGAAGCAGGTCGAATTGTTACGGGCTTAACAAGTTATGCTCGTTTAGAATCCATTTATAAAGAGTCGGGGTGGGAAACTCGGAGGCTTGTTAGGAATTTGTCATTATTCTATAAAATTGTAAATGAGCAGACACCTCAATATTTTACAGACCTTGTACCAGATATGGTATCACAAAATAACAATTATTATCTTCGTAACTCCCAATATCAGATTCAGAGTCTTATCAGATGGTTGCATATCCCCAAAAAAAAAAAAAAAAAAATCCGCTCACTATTAAATTGTGGAACTCTTTGGATTTACAATTGAGACAATTACCAACATTTTCTCTTTTTAAAAATAAGCTATGTGCGGTATATTTTCAAAACGCAAATGTTCCAACTTATTTTTCATGTGGTGATCTATATTTAAACATTTTACGCTGCAGGATGCGTAATAAATGCAGTGCCTTAAATGGCGATTTATTTCATGCAAATGTAGTTGATAATTCTGCTTGTTCATGTGGATATATTGAAAACGCAAACCATTTCTTATTATCTTGTTCAAAATATAAAATTCACAGAGACGTCATGATAGCTGATACAATTTGATGATATATACATGTACTATTATATGTTGATATATATGTTGTTGTTTGGTAATGATTTACTGAACTGCGAAGCTAACGTGCATATTTTTTTTTAATGTTCAGAGGTATATAAAAAATACTGGTCGCTTTTCTCAATGACATTTTTCAAGATCAAATAATGCTCATTTGTGTGAATTTTTTGCGATATATATTTACCTATAGTTATTTGTTTAAAGATAGTTACTAGGCTCGTTGGACGATCACACATCTTTGTTATCTGAGTCACGAATCAGACAAAACACTATATAAAACTTCTGTAAATTAAATGATATAATTAATCTCCACATATCTGGAACTTCTATCTGAGAATATGAGTTCACGTGGAATGTAAGGGTCTGTCTTGATTCGCAACACAATTAAAGAGAAATAGTTTTGATAGTGTAATTTGAAATTATTATAAAATTAAATATTTCACATACATGTAGTTTCTACACTTACATTGCTATTATTATTTTTCTTTCTTTTCTTTTCTTCGTACTCAGATATGTAAAAAAGATTTGATTACAAATATAATGTGTTCTATTATGATTATTTGTTTATGTAAATATATATATTGGAGATGGCGTTCTAAGTTGTCAAACTTGTGTCTTATCCATTGTTAGTTACTTTTTACTTAGCTGTGTATTTATTATTTTGTAGAAGATTTATGTGACCCGAGTCCTTGTACCGAGATCGGGGATACATGTTTTCGTGTTGATGGTGGATTTGAATGTCGATGTATTTATATTGTAAATGATGAAAGTAAGTATATTTAATGTCAACCCATTGGGCTGTTTTAGAAGCACGTAAATTTTGTTTAGAAGTAGTGACACTATGTGGCGTGTATGATACAGTGACCATGTTGTTATAAATGTAATTAAAACTATAACCATCACTTTTTGTTTATAATTTCAGTTATAACATCACCGAATTATCCACTTGAATATCCAAACAACTTCGCCATTTGCTATCTTGTAATTGGCCGACCTGAACAGAATATCACCTTAACTCTTGGCGGACAATTTAACATTGAGTTCACTGATGGGTTTATAGTGATTAGTACATGCCGGCGCGAACTATCTACAACATGTATTAAAGATTATCTAACGCTTCAGGGAGTAAGGTAATCCCATCTATCTTATCAATAAGAACCCCACATTTTCTAGTTACATCCACCGGGTAAATAAGTAAACCCCAAAACAAATAGCAAAGCAAAAGCGCCTGACTGCAATACCAGCCAGTGAGTAAAGCAACAAGAAATTAGTGATAGCGTTATTTGTCTAGCTTTAGAACCGAAATCCAACGACGACCATCCGAATTCCGTGTTTGTTGGGAGATGGGTAGAAATAAAGTGGCCGACACCTTTCCGCTCAAGTTCCTGGAAGCTGGTAATTAGCCCGGGGATATGTGTGTTGGTTGGGGGGGGGGGGCATCTCCCCCACGGAATTTATGAATTTTAGCAAGTGAGTACGACATCCTGAAAGTGGTCCAATATAATCCATCTGGAAATGGCATCAAAAAATTCTCTAATGAAATAAATGATGATGCCCGAAACATGTCGCGCTTTGAGCTGAGCGACTACACTGTTTATTACACTAATTCTCGCTGGTTTAGTTAATTTCTAAACATTTTATTCCCAAAAACCTTATGACACAAATAATGATCGATGCCCTAAAATTGTGACATAATACAGATTGCTTCCAGATCAAATAGTCATGAGATTTCAAACTCTTAAATTTGATGACTAGAAGACAAAAAGAAAAATAATGAAAAATTCCCGTCTTCCCGAACAGAATCTGATCTTAAATGAAAATAATGCTCGATGCCGGAAAACAATCGCATAATGCACAATTGATTCAAACCAAAACGTAGTGTGATTTCGGGCACTTTATTTGCCGACAAAAAAAGTTTTTTTCAACGTCAATGATACAAATAACTGAAGTGGTTTATTTTTTATATTATAGTTATTGTGGTGGGGCACCGCCAGACCCTATCATAGTACCAACTGGTGAAAACACCACCGTGAGATTCGAAACAGATTCCATCTTTACATGCCTTGGTTTTAACCTGAGCATTACCTACACAGGTATGAACTGTTGTATTATATGTTTATACAGGTAACCACTGATATAGATTAGTAAATAAATAATAGACTACTTGTATATATTTGTATGTAGATAATAACTACTGGAATAGTTTCTATTTGTCATTTAAAACACGCATTTGCAAGAACACATTGCTGTATCTAAATATTTCTATATATTTACCTACTTGTCTTTATTTGTCTATTTTCAGATGTATAAAGCCAAGACATCAAGAGATGTATACATTTTGAGACATCAAGAATAAGTCGTGTTATAGCCATCAATGTAATAACTATATCCAAATTAATCTAAATTCATTTAAATAACAAAACTAAATCCATTCTAGAAACTGACCAATAACCTAAATAAACAATTCTTACTGTAATTTTCATTTATTCACTTAAAGTCTCGATGCGTCATTTTAGCGCTATTGGAATCACTTCTGTTCAGTACTGAATACGCCCACACAGTATCTGTGTCTCAACTGCAGCTGATCACGTCATTTTAGCGCTATTGGAATCACTTCTGTTCAGTACTGAATACGCCCACACAGTATCTGTGTCTCAACTGCAGCTGATCTGAAAGGAAAACTTGGATGTTGAACAAATTTGAAAAGGATCGAAAATTGAAAAAATAAACAAGCCTCTCTGATGTCCCCCGCCGAAATCCAAAAATAAATAGATGACACATATTAATTAATCGCACATTTATTTTTTTCAAAAGTATCAAGCAATCAAACTGCACACTAAGTTTCATCCCTCTTTACCAGATAGAATCAAGATTATCTTGTCCCAAAGCATTGACCTATGAAATTGATTAGTTCTACTTAGCTTCACGTCAAGACATTCACCTAATGAACATCTACATCAAGTTTAACCAATCTACCTCAATTGAAAGCAGACTGTTATGTTCCAAAGTCTTGACCAATAAAATTGCTTATCGCTCCTTAGCGCAAGCAGAAAATTCTCACCATTGAACTTAGTCAAGGTAATGATATAATGAATCTATATTCTGAGTTTCATCGCTCTCACTTCATTATAACCAAAGTTATCGTGTCCCAAAGCATCAAACAATCAGATTGCTTATCTCTGCTTACCGTTAGCAGACAATGTTAATCATCGAACTCCAAGGCATTCACCTAATGAACGCCTACAACAATTTTGAACATTCTACCTCCATAAGGAGAGTTATTGTGTCCCAAAGTCTCGCCCAATCAAATTGTTTATCGCTCTGCTTACCCCCAGCAGAATATTTTCATTATCGAACTTATTCAAGGTATTGATGTAATAAAGCTATACACTAAGTGTCCTGACTCTCACTTTATTAGATTTAAAGTTATCGTGTCCCAAAGGATCATCCAATCAAATTGCTTATCTCTGCTTACGGTAAGCAGAAAATTCTCATCTTCCAACTCCATCAAAGCATTCACCTAATAGACAGCTACGTCAAGTGTGAATATTCCAACTCAATTAGAATGAGAGTTGTTGTGTTCCAAAATCTCGACCAATCAAATTGCTTATCGTTCTGCTTACCCTGAGCAGAAAATACTCATTATCGAACTTAGTCAAGGTATTGATGTTATGAAAGTATACCCAAAGTTTCATCACTCTCACTTAATTAGAACTTTATCGTGTCCCAAAGAATTAACAAATCAAATTGCCTATCTCTGCTTACCCTAAGCAGAAAATTCTCATCTTCGAACAACATCAAGGCAATCACCTAATAAACACCTAAACCAAGTTTGAACATTCTAGCTTAATTATAAAGAGGGTTAATGTGTCCCAAAAAGTATAACGGACAGACAGACCGACGGACGAACCCATTTTAATAGTCCTCTTTCTTCGAAAGGCGGGGGACAAAAAAATCTGTTAAAACCTATAGCCTTTATCGCTTTCATACGGTTTTCGGCAAAGAGGGGATAACTCAGGAACAACAGAAGGCTGTGGATTAGGAATATTGACAGGGTTCAAGCCAAATATGAAAAAGATCCATTAACAACAATGAAATCAAATGGGGTTTAACCACATACAGCTCTGCCCATAAATCCTTTTCTTATGATCGGAATCAAAAAGGACTGCAGGCATTATGTACTTTAAGATGCTAGTATACGTATTCACCCCGATTTTCAAGCTTCTACGACCAACGGTAACGGTGGCGAGACCATAAGACGTTCGCAGAATAATGGTATATTACCATGTAGTTATTTTGATTTAGGTCGATTTTCAAAGATGACCGCCGTCATAGCGCAACCCGTAAAGAAGGCCGGGTTTGTTTGTTTTTTTTACCGACAACGGTGTTTTTAGACTATAGAGGCATCATTCCTGTGGTCGTAGTACATTGAAATGCTGATAGAATGTGCATTGGGATCCTAGCTATAACCTATTAAAAAAATAGTGGGTGCGTTTTCGGGAACAGTGATTTTGTTTGCTCGAAAACCACCCCAACCAACAACAGCCGTTTTCTATTAAAATCGCCCATATTTTATCGAATTATTATTGTTCTCGAGATCGCAGCTTTTAAAAGGTGATAGATGTGAGTAGTATGCACCCTCTAAGAAAATTTTGAGATCTTGGAAATACCGGAACGATGCCTCAGCTGTCGATTTTGGCGGATTTTGGCGATTTTCGGCATTTCCGTTCTTATTGTCACCGACATGGTTCCAGTGGTTTTGACGTCGAGGCGCACGAGCCCTCACTGCACAACAGACGTGATAAAATGGCCCTGCAGTATGCTACGAAAATTGCATCACTACCGAATCACATTTCATTTAACACCATATTTAGACCTCTTCATGAGCATTTGTATCTTGTGAAGACTAATTTTATTCCATCATTCGGTATTCGCATACAACCCCTTTTGTCTGAGGCTGGTATCAGCCTTGACAGTATTGCGGATACCCCTTTCTTTAATACTCCACCGTGGGCTATGTCTCCCCCAAAGATTGATTTCGATCTTTCTCAGCATAAAAAGAGGGATACTAGCTCGACGGTGTTCCACTCTCTCTTTAGAGAGTTAAGGTCTACGTATGGTGATTATGCTCCTATTTACACAGATGGTTCTAAAGATGGCGACCGGGTAGGTTCGGCTACCGTGACACCATCTGAGACCATTTCGGGGTGTCTTCCACCTGCTGCTTCAATATTTACAGCTGAGCTCCAGGCCATTCTTCAGGCCTTGGAGTTCATACAATCCTCTTCATCTTTAAAGCATATCATCTTTACTGATTCTCTGTCCTCGCTTCAAGCAATTAATAATAAACAGCTTGAACACCCATTAGTAGCAGATGTTTATCGTCTGCTACTATCTTATGAGTTTAACAGCAAAGACGTCGTCTTTTACTGGCTCCCCAGTCACGTTGATATAAGGGGGAATGATCAAGCAGATTTTGCTGCCAAAGCTGCTTTAGATCTTCCCCAATCACCCTTTTTAATACCTTATAAAGATTTTAATTCGTGTATAAATCATTTTATTTATGACCGCTGGAAACGGTCTTGGGATCTTGCAGGCACAAATAAACTTCATCACATTAAGCCTCTCCTAGGAGATTGGTCCAACTCCTATAGAACCAACAGGAGGGATGAAGTTGTTTTGTGTCGCTCTCGCATTGGTCATACCTTTTTAACTCATATTTTCATTTTGAAGCGAGAGCCTCAACCGGAATGTGTTCACTGTCATGTTCCTTTGACAGTGAAACACATCTTCATTGAGTGCAAACATCTCAAGTACATTAGATCTAAATACTACCGTTGCAAGTACGTCAGCTATTTGCTCAACCGGAGCTATATGACAAAGTGCTAACATTTTTAAAAGAGACAAACTTTTATTATCAATTTTAATTGTATATATTTAATCATGTATATCTTTTTAAATATTTATATATGTAAAAGATTTGTTATATTTATTCTTAATTAATATATTTTCTGTGATATTTGTTTTTATTTACATATATAAATTCATTTATGTGATATCGATTTAATTTGTCTCGTTAGATTCACCATATTCTTGGCGCAATATAGCCGGTTGGAGCTGACGTGCCATAAAACCATATTTCATTCATTCATTCATTCCAGTGGTTTTGAAAATTTAACTTTTTGTGATATTGCGTATAATACTAATACCTATCACGTACAGAAGAGACGATAAAGTGCAGTAAAAAACAACAACCCAAAAACCAACATTTTTATGCCTAGAATCCCATTTTTGGGTTAAAAATCATTTTCTTGGAGTCGTATAAAATGGGATTTAAGTTCTCTTCATATTCTATCAGAATGTCCTGTTCCTAGTTCTACGACCACCGGTCGCCTTGAAATTTTCAGGGCACCTAGGTACCTAGCTGAAAAGTAAGCCGGAATTTGTTAGACATGGCACCATTTTTTCCAGCGTAGCGCAAGCGCAAAGGTTCAAAATTGCTTACTACCGTGCTATAAAGGACCCTCCCCCCCCCCCCTCCAATTCCGACACCGGGGCATTCAAAAATTGTCCCAAAATTAACGTCGAACCACTATTTCCAATTTGTGTTATTTTCAAGCCAATTACCCTCTGGAAAATGGCTGTTCCCCCCCCCACCCTACCACACTCCCGGGTTGGCCCCTAAATTCCTTTTTGGGGAGTTATGCCGGTGTGACATGGTCCCTGGTGTGTGATGATTACCGTTTGGACACAGTGTGCATTGACTTCCCGTGATAGGATTTCCCCTAAGATTTTCTTATGGTTAAATCGGTTTCTACACTAGTATCTACCAATATTTACAGTATTACTAGGGTGACCCACCATAAATAAATATCTCCAAATATCTCGACAATTACGCCACAATATTTATATATATGCCAAGCCTCAAATCAGTTTCACACAATTATAGTCACTAAATAAACGATCATGTTGTACTTAATAAGCTCTGACCATTAATCATCTATAAAAAATAGACTGAAAACTGGTTCCAAGTTGCGTCCATAACATCCAGACACTTTTGAGTAAAAGATAGGTTACGTGCCCTTGTTTTGAAATTAGTCTCGCTTAACCAGTCTATCGACCATTCTACGTCTGATTGACAGGTCGGGATAATCAAGACTACTTTTTTACGAAACATAACAGAAAGCTAGAACAAGAAATTGAATTTAGAAATAAGCACTTTAGACAACTCAACAATTGTTTTAAGAAACTTGTAAAAGTAAAATGAAACTACTGCTAGTATCATGTTCCTGCTAAAGAAAGTGATTCAGAGATAGTATTTGTACTGAACCAAAAGATGCCGCTCTTAACGGTACAGTTAATGATAAAGCAATTTAAAAAATAAAACAAACGTAATTACTAAAGCTGCTGTAATAACCAAGAAGCTAAATTTTACTGCTATTCAAAATCGTCAACAATAGATTTTTTACGGCTGTA